TCTGACAAAATATTTAGTATTTTAAGATACGACATCCTGATTCTTCATACACTTGAATAAGACTAAATGCTGTAGAAGTGAAAAGTAATTTATGTCTTAAGGCACCTCTAGTGACTATCTAATCTTACCAACCACTCAAGGCAGGTTAGAATCTGAATTTGGGTCAAACTGCCCAGACCTGTGTCCCATTGAGCTCTGAGTATGTCTGTGGTTCTCAGCCTCTCTCAGGTCAAACTGCACCACTAGAATTTCCCTTGCTGCAACTCATGTTGTTTGCTAATCTCTTTTGCCATGTATCTTTCCAAAAATTCTGAATTCCTAATCAACAATTAGATAGATGACAATAGCAATCGAACTCTTTGCCTGGGCTCTGATCTGCACAAACCCAATTTCCTTAGCCACTGCTGTTTTGGTTATTTTGTTATTTTGGTGTCACTTTTTCCAGTTGTGAATAGCTTTCTTGCACTTGTGGTCCCAAACTGAACACAGATACTAAACCTGGTGCTGGATGCATTTATTGCAGTAATTCTATACAAGAGAAATTGATAACAAGAATAAAGAAAAAATCAAGAATAAAATGTGTAAACATTTTTTTCCTTCACTGTTAAATTGCATGTTATTTGCCACAATATAGAAATTGTGTCATAACCTATGATGTAATTAGATATTACATTTATTATGAGATTCTCTATCTGCATAAAGAAGCATGGAATTTAGATGAAAGTTAGGGACTGGGGAAAAAATTTAAGCAGATTAAAACTATTTTGGTTTAGAAAATATGTTCATATATTAAGTAAATTTCCATTCTTATATAGTATTTAGAATTGTCTATGTTGGATCTGTTCTATCATAGCTATGGGGCTAGAAGGAATGAAAGCATGAATATTTCTACATATTTACTTCTGTTCAGAGTTTGAGCATCATACCATACTGGCAACAGGAAGCAAGGATGAGCAACAGAAAATAAGAATGAGGTAGCTCCACTGCTTTTGTTCCCTCTTTTTCCAAGCATGTTTTTAGGTAAAACCACCAAAACCATACTGTGAGGTTCTCAGTTCTTTAGATACATTAATTCCCCTTATTCTGGACTCCATCTACATTTTAGTTATCCTCTAGCTCTTTGTTGGATCCCCAAATGGGTTGAGAAGTAGACAAACAGCATATTTTTCCTCCTGCATCAATCCTGGAAATTTCCAGAAGTGTAGACTCCAGGTATTCTAGAATTTTTCATGAGAGAAGAATTAGTTTTGGGAAATGAAGTGCTCACTGAGTGAGTGGCTTTGGATCACAATGTTAGGCTGAGATCTTGAAAATTCTCTCTTATCCTATTTTATGGAGTTAAGTCCATTTATGTATCTGTCATTAACAGCAGAAATAGCAGAAATTTTAATTTTGAAGAAGATGGTTTTCATTATTTCCGTCTGTGTATACTACAACAACACAGTCCTAATTTCTTCTGTTGCCCCCATGTAAATGATGATCCAATCACATAAAACTCAGTCTGAGGTAAACTGAGAATAATCTGAAGAAAAATTTTGAGACTGCTGCCTAAACATCTTGCTTCTATCTCATAAAAAGTTAAGCAATTTTCTGACAGTAATATACATACTTATGCATATACATAGATAAATAGATATATACATATAAAAATTGAAAATCTAGGCACTTTTCTCTGCAACTTTTTAATAATGCTTACTATTTTTTCGGTTCTAGAAGATGCTAAATTAGTATAAAAAGTCCAACAATTTTCAAAAAGCAGGGAATTTTTCTGGGCTGTCTGTGATAATGAATGGGCAACATTAAACACATGTAGATCATTAAAGTATCTAATTGAAGCTATCCCTTTGAAATATATTGTCTGCTTTTTCATTGAGTTCACAGAATCAGGTTTCTTTCTAATGCAGGTACCAAATTAATCTGCGTGTTTATTCAAGGCAAAAAGTATTATTGTATGTTGTAGTATTTATTTAGTTGGACTGTGCTTCAGTTATTTTGCTGGGATCTTAGGACATTTTCTAAAAACTTCCTCTCTAGAAAAGCCAGTAGAAATGGAACTTGAGGATGATTTGCTGTGGGCGCTCTTGAGAAGAATGTACTTAGAAAATTCAAAGAATGAAAGAAGACTCAAATGACACATACAATACCAAGAGATGTTATGAAAATTTTTTGTTTGATCAAATGTTAATTAGCTCATGGAGCAATTATGTAAAATTTGGCAGTATCCACTAAAATAAATAATAATCTAAGTGGTTAAAAGGGAGACGTTTAGGAGTAATATTGACTGAAATACTCACTTGCTAAATATGTAAAGAGAAAGCTTTCAGGGAATTGTCACCATTTCTATCTGACAATCACTTGCTAAAAAGTGAATTTTTCTGCTGTCTATATAATTTTTCCTATTTTTCCTGGGAAACTTGCTTTGTGGTAGTGTGATCCCACACTGTTTTCGGCAGGATTGAATGTAGAAGGTATAAATGGCCTGTATGTTTTTGTGATTTCAATAATCAGTGAAATCCCAGTGCTATGCTATACACCATTCAGGAAGGCATCAAGCTCCATCACTTCAGAACCAGTCTCTCTTACCTCCTCGTTGCACACTGGCTCTTGAAAAAGATCCATTCTGCTCAGCTCTTGAAAATCCTTGGCCTGAATGTGCCTGTATTACCGGCCAGTTTGAGCCTGCTAATCTGTCTTTTCCCAGTCCTTTGTCATTTCAATGAATTATAATCAGAATGTTAGTATGAAGTTTATTAAAAAATATTCTGGCTTCCAACATTAAAAATACTGCTTTTTCATAATAATAGCTGCAAGAAATTCCTTGAAGTTTTTCGGATAAATTATGTGTTTGGTTTAAATCTATCATGGCTAGCAAAAAAGTAACTACTCTTAGAATAACTACCCACACCTCAAATTTAGAGAGATGTCAGTAGAAATTCTTGCACAAGAAAAGAAAATTAAGGGATAGGTCAATAATTGCATTACAACATATATATTCTAATCAAGTGGAAATGCCTGCTGGGAAGATGCTGAGAACCTTACTTTGAAAGTTAGGTGTCAAACCAGAACAAAATTTTGAAAGAGAAAACATAAAATTTGTTTTCATTCAATCTTTAAGAAATGCACATTTCATCACATACATTATATATTAGCATTTCCATTGCTTACATTTTACATGAAAATATTACAGCCTGAGCCTAAATTGATTAAATTTGAAATCAATTAGCAGTAAAGTAACTTTAAAAAATATTTCAAATTTATAACAGCTTATAATAAAGGTGTGTTGTCTTTTCATAGACTGTGCTTTGTTTGAGACTAAGACATGGTCAATGCTCAAATAAGCGCTCATTGAAGTAAGTGTTGCTTGCAAGGAGCAGCATCAAAAAGTGTTTTGGATATTCCATATATTTAAATAATATGAGCATCTAAAACTTGATTAATTCCTCCCAAGATTAACATATAAAATATGATGAAACTGTATGCTCCCACCTTAAGAAGGAACATGACATGCAAGGTAGAACTGGAATATACAACTATTAATGTAAAATTAATGCTAAATAAAATATTACTGTAAATTACATAATGATTTGAAAATTTGAGTAATGAGTAGGAAATAAATATATGGTCTTTATTGATGTTCAGTGTTCTTTGCTGCTTGTTGAAAATAGGTTTCCAGGCTCGATAAACTGTAAAGGGAAGCTATTGGATATTTTGAAATTTAAAATTAGGCTTCTTGGATATTATTTAATTACTTTGAAAGAGAAATTTATTTCAAATATATTGACATGCACACACAAGAAAAAAATATTGAAACCTCAAACTAATTTTTGAATATTTAGATTTTTTTTTTTTTGCATAATATTAAAAAGAAAACAAACAAAAAAAAGTCTGAACCTATTTTTCTTTTTAATTATTGGAACTGGAAGTGAACCTCAAATGCCTTTAGTCATGCAGCAGTGTGGGCAAGCTTTTCATCCAGACTTAGCTCAGCTTTGCTTTTTAAAGGAGTGTAATCTTACCATTTGACCAGAGATGAGCTCAAAGATGGTTTTAGCCATGAAAACTGTAATATACATCTCTGTCAGTGGTGTGTCTAGCAGACTGTATTTGAAACCTTAATAGGGAGAACCCAAGCATCAACAGAAAAAAAAGGTTGTTCCTTCCCTGACTTTTGTGTATGCAAGCAGTAAATAAAAATAATTGTTTTTTAATAGCATGATGATATTCTTCTAAGTTTGCATAGTTAAATAATTAAAAGTGAAGAGTAAAAGAAAAAAGGTAAAGTATATAAAAAAAAGAAAATCTGTGGTGAATATATATCTACAGTAACCTGTAAAAACTACAGTAGAATAGCACTTTTATTAGTCTATCTATTCTTTTGCATCCAGGAAGTTGGAATATTCAGGCTGAACATGCAAGTTCACCTTTGCTTTTTCATATTATTATGTAATATATGATCAGAATCTACTCAATTAAAGATGCTATAGGAAAAAAACTTTAAGTGAAAAACAATGCATTCAGAATCTGCAACTTTCAGAAAATTTTGCAACTTTTCTGCAATTCCCTAGGCAAGGCTTACCTAAATTAGTGATAGATATTAATGTAATATAGGAAGATTTTTTTTTTCTCTCAAATTGATTTAATGACATAAATGTTTAACACAGTTTCCCGACAAATGATGGGAAATTCAGATACATTAATCTATTTGCAAAAGTACCTTCCTCATTGGCTCATGGGATGCTTTGTTTTTAATGTTGTGGAGCATATTTTTTATGACAAAAGGTATGTTGATTATTGTGCTTTTTGTAAGCAGGTCATCAACTGCTTTAAATGATGGTTTGCAGTGACAAGGTTTGCAGTAACTTCCCTTCTCCGTGGAACATAGTGACTGATGCTAATTCAAGAACATGGAATCTTCTAATGACTTCCACAGTGTCTATTTCTTTCATTTTCTTAAAACAATGGGAATGGTACTGATTGTGTAACCTTATCTCCTGTCCCAGGTCTCCTAGAAATCCTGAGCAGAAGATCATTAAACGAGTGATTGCTCTTGAAGGAGACATTATTAAGTAAGTATTTTAAGCCTTAGTCTCAGAGTCTTTATAGGAATATTGCAGCTTTTGAATGTATTTTAAATCAGTATCCTAGACAACGAGTAATTTCTAGCATTTTCTATTATTAACAAGGATGTCAGTGTTTTACCTGTCTGTTTTTTAATGAGAGGAGAAATGCTACACAAAACTATTCATTCTCTCATGAAATGTACATGGGCACAAATAATGCTTGTCTGAGAATATCTCTGCCACAAATCAAGGCAGGTAATTGTACAGCAGTTTTCAATGAGATTATAGGGCTGTGATTTTTCATTTAGAAACTCCATCTGCTCTTTTGCACTGGGGTGGGCAAGTAGCTTGTTTTTAGGCTTTTGTTTATTTGTTTGTTTGTGTCAGGATCTCATCCTTGATATTTTATTTTATTTTACTTTATTTTATTGAAAAAAGAACCCTCATAGAGTACTGTCTTCACTGCAGTGTATAGGGAATATGGTGCAACTGATTTTGAGTAAATTATTCTATCAGAAAAAAAAAACCCCATTGTAGCAAGAGTAGACTCTAGAGTACATCAAGGCTTGGTTTGCTCTGGCAGATAGAGCTTCCTGCTGGGGCTGGATAGAAATAAATTACCACTAGATGTAAATAAAAAGTTTTTGTGGGAACAGTATTACTTTGAAGAAAATGCTTGCTCGAAAAGGTTTCTTTTTCCCAGGTACACAGTGGAATAGACATACAGGTTGGGGGGTGAATCCCTGGTTTCCCATACTGAGATGTGAATGACCCTGGGAGATCTCAGACAATATGGCAGACTGTGACTCAATTCATTTAGATAATGATTCTTGCTCTGGTGTAGTGACTGTTTGAGAAGTATTTGACAGCTGCAATTCAGCTCAAGGATTTGAATTTGATTTCAGTGGGCCCTAGTTAATAGCATGGGCACTGTGAAATATGTCTATGTTTTTTTTTTTTTATCTTGTAGTCAATACAATTCTTTTTTCATTGAAAAATTCTCAATTTAATTGAATTATCTCAGTTTGAGAAATCAAAATAAATTGTTGTGTCTCTAGTGAAGCAAAATATCTAGAACAAAGGAGATAATTTGATGTCCATAAACTACAGAAATCTACAGATAAAACTACCTATCACTTTCAAGAGCTAAAGAGAGAGGAGTACTGTCTTTTATTGACCTGTGTCCTTAAGAAGGTACTTATATTGCTGATATTAGTGCTGTAATGCATATAAGTGATAAGAATGTTATTCATGTTTCAGTATCCCTCATTTATTTCTGTGGCAATATCAGAAAGAAATTTCAATGTAAGGTAACTTCAAGGGTTACTTTACATTGTTCTATGTTATTAACATATTTGCCTTAATTTTTGAAACTGAGTGTAGATTTTGATAAAAAAAGAAGGTTTAATAACATAAGTTCTAGCTTTAGGAAATTAACTCAGCTGTACATTCAAACTCTTTAAGACTTGGAACTTTTCATTAACATTTGCGGTTGTTCCTGGCCAAATGGACAAAGGTGGCACAAGTGTGTTCAGAATACTGATGAGCCTGCAGGTTAGTGAATCACTCATGGACACAAAAGACTCTACAATGATCCTCAGTGGTCATGGTAAACCTGGTTAGATTATTTATTGACAGAAATACTGGTAGAAATCTCAGTAATTCAGATGTGCATTATTATTTTTTTTTAAGTTTTTTTTTTATTTGAAGGTGTGACAATCATCCCAGAGCTTTTTGCTGTACGTCTTGGTCTTGGCTGGGATAGAGTTAATTTACTTCCTGTAGCTGGTACGGTGCTGTGTTTTTTTGGCTTTAGAATGAGAATTATGTTGATAACAAAGTGATGCTTCAGTTTTATATGAATAGTGTTTACTGTAAATCAAGGACTTTCCAGTTTCCCATGCTTTGCCAGTGAGAAGGTGCACAACAATCCAGGAAGGAACACGGCCCAGACAGCTGACCCAACTGGGCACAGGGATATTCCATATCACAGAGTGTCATACTCAGTGTGTAACCTGCAGGGAGCTGGCTGGAGGACACTGATCACTGCTTGGGGACAGGTGGTGAGCAATTTTATTGTGCATCACTTGCTGTTCTGGAGTTTTATTCCTCTCTTTCTCTTTTCAGTAATAACAACAACAACAATCACAAAGCAGAGTGAATATTATTGTATTACTTTCTGTTATTGTTGTTGTTATTAGCATTATATTTTATTTCCTCTCCGTTATTAAACTGCTCTTTCTCAACCCATGAAGTTTACCTTGTCTTTCCAACTCCGCTCCCTGCCCCTGGCAGGGAAGTTTGGAGTGAGCAAGTGGCTGTGTGGCATTTACTTTCCAGCTGCAATTAAATCTGACAATCAGTATTGCCATGGGTTAAGATAAGAAGAGCGATAGGCAATATGTTCTGTGATCCTGTAGTTGTGCTTTCGTAGCTGGATGAATTATCTTTATTTGATCCATTTGGAGCATGATTAGGGATAATACTAGAAAGTTGCGTTTTCATATCTTATTAATTAAAGTAAGTTAATTAGCATTTTAATGTTTGTTAATTACTGAAAGTGATGGAAGATCAAATAGGCAGAGCCATTAGTGACATAGGAAAGGTCCCTTATATTTTGACTTGAGTTCAGGAGTTGACTCCAGGCAGAAAAATCCTGCTTTTCAAATCTTAATTCTAAAAGTATTTAATGACATGAAAATTGTGATATTTTAAAAATAACTATGACTGACTTAGATTTTTTGAAAAGGTGTGTAGGTGAAAAATCTATAATAGGTCCATTTTCAACTTTTATTTTCTATTTTGCAGGTAGTTAGACATTATACTACATAATAATTTTCCTTTTGAAATATAATTTGAGGCATTGCAAAATGCTACAAACGCACTGAAATAAAAACGCTGTCATTACAGTTTTCTGTTCCTGCTTCCAGTCTAGTTGCTAGTCAGGTGAAATGAGTTTGGTAGTGTCTTGTAAATCATTAGAAGCATCCAATAAATGCCACACATCTGTAAAAGATAATTTAATTTAATTAAGCTGGTACAACTTCCTCTTCAAAAGAATTCAAAGAATTTAAAGAATGGACAAAAAAATCCCCAGTTAGTCCTTGCAAATGAGTCTATAGGTCAGCTTGTATACAGACAATATTGCAAAGTGTAGCTCCCATAGATCAGAATTTGTGTTGTTTTCACAGGAGAAATAGCTTTAAGTGGAAAACCGGTTCCTGAAGACTGTTTAAATGATAAGTTTTACAAAGGAGGCCTTATTTTAAAAGTCAATATAATCTAATTTGTTAAAAATTAATGTTGGTGTTATAAAGCACTTGGAATAAATTGAAATTAAACTTATTTATCTTAAATGCATTACTGGTAATTCAAAAATCTATAGTAATCTTTCACAGATGAGTTATGGTATGTTTTCAGTAACAAAAATAAATGATGCTTTATGCAAAGGAAATCAAAATTGGTGTTAAGCTAGTAAAATTTGAAATCAAGTCTATTCAGTGCCTTGTTGAACTAATTTGTTTTCCTTCTATCTGTTACAGTTCTACAGGTCTGCAGGAGATTAGTTATGTTTTTTTTCCTCTATTTGGTTGCTTCTTAATACTGTACCTGAGTTAAGAATGACCAGTGAGCCTCTAGCAGGAATAATTTTTAAAAAAAGATTATGTTTGGGAATATTGTTAGGCTCTTCAGGAGTTAGTATTCTGAACTGAATGCTTCAGGAAAATGCTGTGTGTGTTTATACATTGCATCTTGCAAAATTGCTCTGAAGATGTGAAAAAGGAAATACTCCTTGTTTCTCAAAGCATGATAATACAGGCATAGATCCTTGAACTATTAAACTGTAGGTCTAAACCAACTTTCCAACAATAACTTTTATTACAAGGTTTATCATTAAGTTGTAGAAACTATTGCCACAGAAAGTTAGGAAGGTAAGAGGTATAATGGGATTTGAAAAAGGGTAGAGAATTAATAGAAATAAAGCCCATCCATCAGTAGCTGTTAAATGCAGCAGTCACTGTTATTAACTTTATGTACTCTAGTTATCAAGTTCATGCAGGCTGTTATAGTTTTTCCAGTCAAAGATACCATACTTCCTTAAATTATAAGTAAAATTTGTCATTCTGTCCACTTATTGGAGAACCCTTTCAGCTTCAAACTGTCATTACTCCATACAAATGTTTGGTTGCTTTTTTTATTCTCAGAAAGTTGGTGTCAGTGGCATCCACTATCCCTTTAGTGTAAAAAAGACAATCATTAAGGGTTTTTTATTTTTTGGGGCTTTTTTGTTTTACTAAATCAACTCAATTTTGTCAGATATTATGACTGCCATTATTTTTTTCACTGAGGTCCAGGAATGATTTTCCAACAAAACAGCTGTCTTCACCCAGAGACCATACTGCTGGATAACAACTTGTATTAGATTACACCAAAAAATCCATGCCTGCCTCTAGAAAGCAGAGCAGCCTTCAGAAAAACTCAGACTTTGCCAGTATTGGAGCCCAAGAATCTCTCAGTACAAAACATCTTCAGGACAATCACCTGGCAGGAATTACATGAAAACTTTTGCTTTTTAATCATAGAGAAGAAATTTATATTCACTAGTGCTGTAGTAAGACTCTATTTGTTCCTTCTTTCCTCACTGCTCCCCGCACATAGGCCCCTGGTAACTATTTGAGGTACTGCTTATGTGCTAAGGTACTGCTTGCAATGGCTAATAGTTAGAGCAGGAAAATGGATTATCAGTAAAATACATTAAAATCTAGAAATCACAGTAGATGATTGCACACAGGGTATGTTTATGGCTGTGTCTTTGTCAAAGTCTACTGTGTCTGTCTTTGGGTTGGGAATATAAATCTGTGAGTGGTCAGAGCTGCATTGACAGGAGTGGGAGATGTGCAGACATGAGAACAGGTTGTACTCTACAGAGACACAGCACCATCCTCATAGATTACAAATTTTGCAGTATCTTTTGTGTTGACTGTCTTCATATTGTTCTTGGTTCT